ATAAAAGTGTAATCGTGCTAATTTCTTGATACGCACTCACCTTTCTCCTTTTAACACGACTTCCATGTCAGCACTCATTACTTGTTTCATCCTATCTTGGAGTCCTGGGTAACGAACTGTTGAAAAAACAAGTGGAGTAAATATGTGTATCTATTTTCTTAGTTATGATTTCGGGAAGAACTTGAAATAAAGGCTAATGAATGACTGAAAAAGAAGTGGAGAGAAACTGTGTTGCTTGTAAATAAAACCCTGAAATTGGTCTAATATGTGTATCTATTGTACGTCCATGTAACTACTTCGCAGGGTGTAAATGGATCTTCACTAACATTGGTATGGAGGTTCGTTACGTCCAATTTTGCATTTTGCGGTTTTTATGGGCGTTTTTTTAGAATTACACATAAGGGAAGCAACTTTTCAATATTATTGTATACAGAGTAAACTTCCATCGATTCAACACATCAAAATATTATTGTATACAGGGTAGACTTCTATCGATTCAGCACCTCAAAATATTATTGTATTCGGGGTAAACTTCCATCGATTCAACACATCAAAACAGGGTAAACTTCCATCGATTCAACACTCAAAATATTATTGTATACAGGGTAAACTTCCATCGATTCAACACCTTAGAATATTATTGTACAGTATAGGGTGATTAAAGAGAGTTGTAGGATTACTTATATTTGTATATGGAGAAATAAGTTAAGAGCGATTTCATTGCTAGCATAGTCTGTGACTGTTTGAATATCCTACCACTATGGTTTTAAAAGAAAAACAGTAAATACATTTCGCAGCTAAGGTATTCATAAATAGAGATTATGTCTTTTGTAATATTATGTTTTTTCTAAATTATATATATTTCTTAAATTCTAAAATGTTGTTTCTAACACTGATAGGCCTCAGTGGCTCAGCGGTATGCCTGTGGACTTTTAACGCTATAAACCCATTGTGTAGCTTTGTGTTCAACTACAAACAAACGAAAACTAACGCACGTATATAAGATTTGCAAACTTGTTAGTTTTTGATGGACAAAATAATATATTGGATATATATCGGTAAATAGCTACTTACTACAATATAACAATCATTTATCAAAGCGTGCTGTTAAAACTTTTAGTAGAACACCACACGTGGTTTATGAATGTAATTAATTACATTGTAGCGTGTATTAACTTAAATCGTCAGTATAGCTGAGAATTAAGTGCAGTTAAGGATTTATGGTAGCCTTAGGTTGCAAAGCTGCTACTGGCTAATATAATCAACCTACGCCATTTTGTGTTCCATTTTTCTCATATATATATACTGTTGTGGCTTAATTTCAGTTCTTTTGTTTTTGTTTCCAAATGCAAAACAAAAATAAAGTAAGCAAGCCCACCTTTTAGATCAGCGACAGTATTGCTGGCTCGACTCAGAAGGAGTGCCATGTCCTCGACACAGCTCATGTTCACACGACACCTCCTGTTGATAACATTTCCACGAAGCTCTTCCACCTGGCTCTCTAAGTCTCTAAGTTCCACGTTTTAAAATGAAAATGTTATACTTGAGCATGTCTTTGAGATGCTAAACCTATAAATCTAGTTACTGTTAAAGGTAAATAGCATCATAGAAAAAACAAAAAAAAGAGAAAGAGTACCTAATACTCTCTTAATTATGTGACAAAGTTTGCTGTGGGACTTTGACAATATTGACCATCATCGTGAACAAAATAGTACTTAAACTACACTGGGATCTCAACAGTAATAATTTTTATAAAGACCTCAACAGTATTAAACTTCATTGGAATCTTAACAATATTAATCTTTACAATGACCTCAACAGTATTAAACTTCACTAGGATCTTAACAATATTAATCATTACCGTGACCTTAACAGTATTAAACTTCATTGGAATCTTAACAATATTAATCATTACAAT